TTTAAAAAACAGATGGAGGTTTATTATATATATGGGATATTGGGATTTTTTTTAACGACATATGGGATATTGGGATGGGTTATCGGTCCAGCACCGAGGTGAGCCTTTTTTTGACAGATCGTGATGTGCCGCCCGACGTGCGATCAGCCCAGGCGCGGTGGCTGCCGGGTCAGGCCATGCTTGATCCGAGCTAAAAATCCGTGCTTCCTACGGGCCTTCCATACGACTACGCCCCCACAGGCTACACGCCCCCTTCCTATGCACGCGTGCGCACCTAGCCGGAGCTGCAAGAGCAAGACGGTGGAACAGGGAGAGGAGCTGCATACTGCGTGCACCGTGCAATCGTCAAGCTGTTATGCCCCCACGGCCCTCACCACACCAAATACTCCTATAGAGCATGGTCCGCCATTATTAGCAGTGACCCGTGAGCATTATAATCCAAAGGAGAAAAGAGATTAATAGTCAAAAGTGTAGTTTTAACATTTCTAATCTGCTTTCTTCGTTTTAAGTTATAAGTTATTTTAGTTTTTTAAATATACATATCTTTTATTATGCATCTAGACACCATTGTATAGATATCTAGAATAAAAAAAAACTGTATGTCTAGAAAAACCAGAATAACTTACTATTTGGAATGAGGCAGTAAGCATGTCAAAGAAAGCCGAGAATTACAAGCATATACATAAATTATGTAGACAACATCCACGGTTCCTCTGAAGAGATCAAGAGAGGCATTTTTTCTCGCTAGTTATAGAATTATAATAAGTACCATACACGCTTTTAGCTCGCACGTTCAGTTGCCATAAACATATTTCTGTAAATACATACATTTGCAGCTCAAAAAAAGTAATTTATGTTGTTCTTCCAAACCAATTAATTGGCAACGCCATTCCTAAGTTGAATGATACATATTTTGGTATGTATAGTATGTCATGCACTACGATGGAGTACAGTTGTCGCCCGCAATTTTTGACGAAAACAGGCGGGTCTTCGATGGCATGGAAACAAAGACGCTATAAATATTGACAGAACGTAAAGTTTTGTCACATAGCCATCAGTAACCTACGTGTGGACTATAACCCTAGCCAAAGGCCCGCTGTCAGTGATGCAATGGAAAACTATACCACTTACTCTTTGCATGTTTTTCGGTATGCAAAGCGTTTCCGCTATAGTAGTAACGGAAGCCCGCCAACACTTAAGCATTAAGATTCCACTTCGACTGCATGAAAGAAAGACGCTACCAATGTTAAGAAGAGGCACATTTAATTTGACAGTGTCGTCATCGGCAGCTTATTGGTGCACTGTAGCCTTAGTCGAAGGCCCGGTGTCAGTGAGGCAACTGAAACAATATATCATTTACTTGGGCATGTTTCTCGGTACGTACAACATCTACCTTAGACAGTGGTAACTGAAGCCCCCTACCACCCTGGCTCCAAGCCTTTCATCCTTATCTCTACCCCTATAATACACCACTTCAAATTATCCTACAGCCACTAAACAAATCACACATCTATAGTCACGATCTAAATTACGTCCACCCCACAAAACGCACACAGAAAAAGATAACATTAAAAACGTACGCACTAAATTAACTCTCACTCATTCTCTCTCACTGCTCAACCACATCCGACGGTCGATATTCTTTGGATCTCCCACACCCGATCCTCCCACTTCACCGCTCCACCCCCACCCACGCGCGCAGACGCCGCTGCCTTCTCTTGCTTTTTCGTTCCCCCCTTCAGCCCTCCGGTCCCGATCCACCCGCCGCCCCAACCCAGGCCCCCGAGCTCGCCCTCTGCTTCACCAGGCAACTCGCACCCGTCGTCGCCGGGGAGGGCGCCCCCAGTTCCGCCGTCGAACTCTCCTACCACCACGTCGACCACGACCGGAACCCGCTCCCCCACGGCAGCACCGCGTCGCCGTCAAAAACCTGGTCGCACTTCAAATCCTCCGTCGATTGTCCCGTCCGAGAAGAACCGCAGAAACTAGAAATCTGCCGCCACTTGTTTCATTCACCGTTGGCGCCGTGCGAACGGCAATAATCCCCACCCCGTGGATCCGCCGCCCCCACGCCCACACCCCAAATCATGTGGTCTCGTGGCTTGTCAGATCCACCATGGCGATGCGATAGCAGGGGACGAGGACGATGGCGCAATGAGACTCCAGGCGGTGAGGCTCTAGCTTTTGGTGCCTCCCATCCGATTTAATCAGTAGTATCTAATCCCCTATTTGTGTTGTCGCCTTTTGAATCTAAATACAACAGAAAATCCTCGATCCGTTCGCAGGCTCAGACTCAAACCAGGTGGGGATTCATCCATCCACCATCGGCAAGGAACATCCTGGTTCCGCGGGCGGCCCTTGCCATCCATTTACCAGTGCATGGTGTTGCATCTGCTCATCATTCGAGCCAGTGGATACTGGATCCAAAGGTGAGCAACCGCTCAAATCCACCTGACTAATGGCTGAATATGAGTCTTTCTTTCTATCCCCGTACATGGATATGGTATTTGCTCCCAGTTTCCTACTTTCAGCCTGATTCATTGGTGAGATCCAACAAATATGTTTTAGATCTTTTTTGTTTGAACGAACACATTTGTTTCAGATCTGATCGTGATATAGCTCATCATAATATTTTGGCTAGATTGATGAGTAAAAATTGTTATTGCATATCACGAGATGATAGTTCATTTTAGATCCAACACAATACATGCACCTGTACATGCTATTTAATTATTGTAAATTTGTTTGTCGTAAATCAGAGAGAAATTTACGATTTTTATTAATTTGCTTTGGGTTCTGTATCTCTAATAGGTTCTTTTATCAGAGCCGGCGACTAATTAAACTGTATGGGATCGAAATGGAATCTTGATTTTGTAGGAGACTAACCTGAAATTTTCCTCCGCTTCACTTGGTCACAGTGTTTTTAAGGCGTCGCTTTGTCGTCACTTTGGCGTCGCTTAAGCGCCAAGGCGCTCCACGCGGGACGCCACAGCAGACGACTCGCCTTAGATTCATACGGCGTCTGCCTTACGACCGTGTCGTCCAGAAATCGTCGCTTTGGCGTCCGATTCGCGCCAAATCGTGCATGGCGGGCGCCATACGCGGGAGAATCGACAGGAGAAAAACGAAAGAGGGCAAGCACGAGGGAGAAAAAGTCGCGCGTAGATGGAGCGGGCGCGCGGGAGAAACAGAGCAGGCGCGTGGGAGACCAACCAGTGAGCGGGAGAGCAAGAGAGGAATAGGAAGCCGCAGCTCGCTCGCCCGCGCCGCTGCAAGCCGTGTCCTCTTCCCCCTCAAGAACAGCTTCCCCCTTTGGTCAAGTTTCGCGAGGAGCAGCTGCCTGCGAACCGCGGCCACCTCCCAATCGGCGCTGGCCTACAGGAGAGAGGGGAGCAAGAGACGGAGAGAGGGATTTGGGAGAGAGTTGCGGCGGCGCTGAGGAGAGAGGAATTAGAGAGATATGAAGACGTGCGGGGCACATGGGCTGCTGGTGGGCTGGGTCAGACCACTTCTTACTCCTCTGTTCTTTTTTCGTTTTTCCTTCTCTGTTTTTCTTCACCATTTACTGCTCTGAGCTGTTGTTTTAAATTTTCCTTAAATTGTTAAGGCGTCGCCTCGCCTTATGCCTTACTCGCTTAATCGTAAGGCGGTAGTCAGTCGCCACGCCTCGCCTTACCGCCTTGAAAACATTGCTTGGTCAGCAGCAGTGGATCCTCTGTTGGTAAGTAGTAGTACTTCTCATGGAGTGATTTTTTTTATTCCTCACACTTTCGTGGGTATTGAAAATTGATTCCTCATCAGCAAGAGTAGTATGGATTTTTAGTCCATTTCAGTTGACTCATACATATTATTGCTTCACTGTAGATCAACTTTATTAGTGTTTTTTGCTGCTCTGGTTAGGCGTGAAGATTTGGGAATTGTTGCAGTGACCATACCATCTGAACAATTTTATGCCATGGCAGGATATATGATTTTCATCTGTTCATAATATAAAATTATCGTAAGTATTATTAGCTCAAATTTTTGTAAATATTATTAGTATTGTCGACGCCCTTCGCGGAGGCGAGGAGGAAGCCATGGTGCCTGCTGTCAGTGTCCTGATCGCCCGCGCCCACGCCCCTCGCGGAGGCGAGGAGGAAGCCATGGTGCCTGCTGTCAGCGTCCCGATTGCCCGCGCTCACGCCCTTCGTGGAGGTGAGGAGGAAGCCGTGGTGCAAAAGTGTTTTTTTGGATTGTATACATACTCAAATACAATTATGTAAAGTTGAACTATGGAAAAAAAAACATTGGTTGTTTTTATGTGTATTTCTAAAATAAAACCGTGGCGTTAGCACGGGCATTATACTAGTTTTTAAAAAACACCCAAGACTAGACTGGAGTTCAAATCACACAGTAACCACACAGCCATCCACCGTGGCTCTAAGCCTTCCTCCGTCCCTCCTTAAAAACCACCCAAGATCACAGCTCGAGGCACAGAACACCACAGTCGCACCCTAGCACTTGCTACTTTCCTCACACCCACGTCGCCTCGTCGACCACCGTGTCTGCGCTTGTGGCGTCCTTGGCCCCTGTGGCGGCCAACGAGGAAGGAGAGGCGCTGATGGCCCTGCACCACGGCGTGAAGGACACCGACGGCGTGCTCGCGAGCTGGGACCCGAGCCTGGTGAACCCGTGCACGTGGTTGCACGTGATGTGCAACGACGACAACCGCGTCGACCGTATGTAAGTTTGTGATCTGATCTCTCTTGCTGGATGGGCTGGTGGGCTTGCTCCTTGTGGATATGGATCAGGCCACGCTAGGCGGAGAAACACTTTGTTACGAACAAACGAGTTCTTCAGATTGAGGCAAGTAGCAGTTGATTGGAAACGGGCAAATGGGAGAGTAAGCAAGGAGGAAGGTTCAGAGAGGACCGTAGGAACAAGTTGATGGATACAATTTCTGATGCCTCTCTCCTCTAACCTATTACACATATATCCGATCCATATCCCAGATCACCGCTTCACGCCGTCGCCCACTCATCCCCGCTGGTGTGCGTGCTCGGCGCCCTTGCTCTGCTGGAGCGCCTCAGTTGCGGCCCAGGCCCCTGTGCTGCTGCCTCCTCTTCCGAAGCCGGCCCAGGCCCATGTGCTACTGATGACTTGCGCGAGCCCGCATCATGGGCCGTGACATCCTCTCCCCCTTGCGCGCCAAGCCGGCTCCAGACGGCGGCGCGAGGAAACTGCTGCCGGAGATGGTCCAAGTTCTCCCAAGTAGCTAGCGAAACTGGCAAATGAGACCACTTGATCAGTCCTTGAGAGATGGAACGCGTACCTTTGAGCACCGACCGGACTTGCAAGATCCTTTCAGGAATACTCCAGATCACATTAGCTGAAGGAGGGTGAGCTGTGACAGTTTGTTGTGCACCGACGGACTTCTTCAACTGTGACACATGAAAAACCGGATGCACAGATGAAGAGGCCGGCAATTCCAACTGATATGCCATGGTTCCCACCCGTGCAACCACCCGGTATGGTCCGAAATATTTGAAGGCTAACTTCTGATTGGCGCGCTGACCCAATGAAGACTGAATATATGGTTGAAGCTTCACAAACACCCAATCATTTACCTCAAAGTGGCGCTCAGAACGATGTTGATCAGCATACTTCTTCATGCGTTACTTGGCACGGTTAAGATGCTGCTGAATGACATCAAGCATAAGATCTCTGTCAGCCACCCAGGTGGCCAAATCTACCACTGGAACCTCCGAGCTTCCAGCAAGACCAAAGTGCCTGGGAACATAACCATACAAAACTTCGAATGGTGAGCGGCCGAGAGCAGAATGCCAATTTGTATTATACCAAAACTCCGCTTGGTCCAGCCACTGCCGCCAATTGCGAGGACAGGCATGAGTGAAACAGCGGAGAAATGTTTCCAGACACTGATTCACCCGCTCAGTCTGACCATCGGACTGTGGGTGGTACGCCGTACTCATGCGCAACTCAACACCAGCCAACTTGAATAACTCGCGCCAAAAGTTGCTAGTAAAGATCTTATCCCGATCTGAGATGATGGCTTGGGGAAGACCATGCAGTTTATACACTTGCGAGAGAAATAGCTGAGCAACAGATGCAGCGGTAAATGGATGCTTGAGGGCTAGAAAATGAGAGTACTTGGAAAACAAATCGACCACCACTAAGATGCAGTTGAAGCCGTCGGAAGAAGGAAGCCCTTCGATAAAGTCCATAGAGATGACTGACCAAGCACCCTAAGGGACTGGAAGAGGTTGCAACAGACCTGGAAGTTTGGCTCGGTCCAGTTTGGCCTATTGACAGATAGTGCAAGCCGCTACAAAAGCCTGGACAGCTGATTTCATTCCTTGCCAAGCAAAGAGTTGCTTGAGACGGCGATAAGTAACAGTGACACCGGAATGTCCCCCAATAGCTGTGGAATGCACTGCTGCCATCAATTTAGCTTGCAGATCCTTGTGGTGACCCACCCAAACTCGATTGTGATAACGGAGTAAGCCATCCCTCAAAGTGAAACCCGACACTCCATCAGGTGTACTGGAGAGCTTAGTAAGGAGTTCCTGAGCACAGGCATCCTGTGCATATGATGAAAGCACGTCCGCAAGCCACTACGGTTGACATACTAAAACCGCAGCCAGCTGACCAGAGGGAACGCGAGACAAAGCGTCGGCCACTCCATTGTCAACACCCTTGCGATATACAATCTTGTACTGAAGGCCAACCAATTTAGCAAACACCTTCTGTTTCCAAGGAGTGTGCAAGCGCTGCTTGGTGAGTTGCACAAGACTACGATGATCAGTAACTATCTGGAACTCAGCATGTTGAAGGTAACTGCGCCACTGCTCCAATGCCATCAGAATGGCCATATATTCCTTTTCATAAGTGGACAAACCCCGTGAACGAGGGCCCAAAGCTCTGCTCAAATAGGCCAATGGATGACCACCCTGCATCAGCACTGCTCCAATACCAGTACCACTTGCATCAGTTTCAACAGAAAATGGCTTACTGAAGTCCGGAAGGGCCAGCACGGGAGTTGAGGTAAGTGCCTGTTTGAGAGCCAAAAAGGCCTGCTCCTGCAACTTGGTCCAGACAAAAATGGCTCCCTTGCGTAACAGCTCAGTCAAAGGACGCGAGATGATGCCGAAAGTCCGGACAAAACGCCTGTAGTACCCCGCAAGACCCAAAAAACTAGGTAGCTCCTTCACTGTCTGGGGAGACGGCCACTGGAGCACTGCCTGAATCTTCTCCGGGTCAGTGGCAACACCTTCAGCCGAAATGATATGACCAAGATAACGTAACTGGCGCTGAGCAAAGCGACATTTGGACATCTTGACCTGCCACTGATCACGTTGCAGTAATTCGAGCACCTGATGAATGTGCTCCAGATGTTCTTCATAAGTACGGCTAAAAATGAGGATATCATCAAAGAACACCAACACGCACTTGCGCAGGAGGGACCGAAGAGTGGTATTCATTGCTTTCAGGAAAGTAGCTGGAGCTCCAGTGAGACCGAAGGCCATAACTCGAAATTCGTAATGGCCCAAATGAGTTTGAAAGGCCGTCTTAAATTCCTCACCGGTTTTCAAACAGATCTGGTGGTATCCAGCAGTGAGATCCAGACAAGAAAACCAAGAAGCATTCGTCAACTCATCTAGTAGCTCCTCAATAACAGGTACCGGATACTTAGCTTTGACCGTGAGGGCATTCAACTGTCGGAAATCAACGCAAAAGCGGAAGGTACCATCCTTTTTCTTGACTAGCAACACTGATGAAGAAAATGGGCTGTTACTATGTTGAATGGTTCCGGATTGCAGCATCTCTGAAATCTGTCGCTCGATCTCATCCTTGACAGCTGGAGGGTAGCGATACGGACGGACCAAAAATGGACTGGCTCCCGGTAGCAGAGGAATGGTATGATCACAATCACGGGCTGGAGGATAACCTGAAGGAGGAGCAAAGACTGACTGAAATTCAGCTAAGAGTGTTGAGACCTCCGGTGGTATTGCTCCCTGATCAGCAACTAAATCATCTGATAACACTGCTGATACCTGCACCACCGAACCTGGTGGCAGAGCTGAAAGAGAACCCTGCAAGAAGCACTGTTGTTGACCTTGTGTAATAAGCAACCACTTGTGTTGCCAATCAATGTGCATCGGACTATAAGAAGCCAACCAATCCATGCCAACAATGAGGTCATAGGAAGACAACGGCAACACCTTAGCTTGAGAGACAAAATCATGAGACTGAACAGTCCAAACGAGGTTCTCGAATTGATTGGAGCAAAGCAACTGGGAACCATCAGCCACCATGACCTTGAGTGGAGGTGAAAGCACCGACTGACCTTGCAACTGAACAGCAAGAGCAGCACTGACAAAGGTGTGAGTACTGCCAGAATCAATGAGGATGTGAACTAGATGACCCTGAATGTGCCCCATGAACTGAATAGATGTGACAGAAGGTGGACCACCAGAAGTAGCCATAGATATAGACATACACACTTGAGCTTCCGCAGTTTCAGCTTCCAAGCAGGCATCATAGCCATCCTCCCGACAGTCCCCGGAGAAACAGACCTCCCACAGCTCTTGCAAGGCATGCAATTGAATTGCTTCCGGACAGCGATGATCACGGGCCCATTTCTCGCCACACCGAAAACAGAGACCACGAGCACGCCGATACTCACACAACGTGGAGAGCTTGTCATCCATACCACGAGCACGACGCTCTGGAAGCTGATGTGGTGGCACGGGCTTATCTTGACGGTTCGGACGCGGCGGCGGATTCGGCGGATTCAGAGCGGCAGAGGTGGACCGCTCACCGGAGCCTTTGCAAAGGTAAATGGTTCAGGGCGCCGAAGCTTCTTCGTACGCACAGGCTCCACCAATTCCTTCTGCAACAGAGCAAGGACACAGGCAGTATCCAGATTCTAGGGACGTTGCATATGAACAGCAGCACGAATGTCGGCACGCAATCCATCGACAAAACGCATAGCATAGTAAATTGGATCGGTATTACGGCCATAAGCAAGTAACTGATCTACCAACCCAGTGAATTTGTCAATATAGTCTTGGACTGTGGCTGACTGGTGGATGTGAAAGAGCTAACGAACTAGCAGTTCATGCTGATCTTTACCAAAGCGGTTCATGACCAGCTCCTAAAACTGCTCCCATCCCCCCGAACGAACCTGCTCCTCCATCGATTGCAACCAACACGCTGCGGCGCCAGACAGGTGCATGATGGCCACCTTGACCCAGCGGCGGCATGGAACAAGGTACATCTCAAAATAATCTAAGCAACGCCTGAGCCACAACTTTGGGTTGGAACCATCAAATGGAGGAAAATTGATTTTAGGTAGATGAAAATTGCCCCCATCCCCATCCTCATGACCACGATGATCCAGAGACCCATGTACCCCTCCCGAACCGCCCTGAGTGCCAGCAACGAGAGCTGAACTCGAATAGGATCGATACAGCTTGGGTTTGGAATCGGGATCAGGCGGTATGAACGTACCCTTGACCGGGGATTGAGCATAAGACTCAAATCCCCGGTGACTTGATTCCTCGTGGGGCCCTAATGGGAGGAAGTGAGTCCAGCCAGCGGGAATCCACGCCGGAGACTCCTTGGGACGCTGCAGCACGCCGGTCGACGCGGCCTGCGTGGCGCCGAGGATGGAGCGGCTCACCGACTTGCGCAGCGCAGTCATCTCCTCCCGCAGCAGCTCCACCCTCTCCTCCGTCTTCCTGAAGGCTCCAATCTCCGCGCGCAGTTCCGCCACGGAGGCGTCCATCATTGGCTTCCAGGCGTCGAGCACCTTCGCGGCGTCCTCCAAGGAACCGACGCGGGCACCAATGGAGTGCTCGACCGCATCGATGCGATTTGTGAGGTTGGTTTGCACCGACTTGAGCTCATCGAGAATGAGTTTGGTGTTGAGATCCATGGCACCGAGCTGCTTGCGGAATCGGGTGAAATGCTCGTGGTCGATTTGGTGGGGCTCCAGGGTGAATCGATTTCCGGCGATTGACTCCTACACCGATCAGATCAGCCTCGGCACGGACCTACGGGTTCATCACTCGTTGCCGCAGCACCTAGGACGATCAACCAGCCGTCGGGGGTTACGATCCCAGATCAAGGCAGAGGAAAACAAAAATCGGCCGAGAATCGAGGGCTCTGAGTACCAATTTGTTACGAACAAACGAGTTCTCCAGATTGAGGCAAGTAGCAGTTGATTGGAAAGGGGCAAAAGGGAGAGCAAGCAAGGAGGAAGGTTCAGAGAGGACCGTAGGAACAAGTTGATGGATACAATTTCTGATGCCTCTCTCCTCTAACCTATTACACATATATCCGATCCATATCCCAGATCACCGCTTCACGCCGTCGTCCACTCATCCCCGCTGGTGCGCGTGCTCGGCGCCCTTGCTCTGCTGGAGCGCCTCAGTTGCGGCCCAGGCCCCTGTGCTGCTGCCTCCTCTTCCGAAGCCGGCCCAGGCCCATGTGCTGCTGATGACTTGCGCGAGCCCGCATCATGGGCCGTGACACACTTGTGTTCGGCTACACGGAACACAGATTTTTTATTTATTTATTGATTGAATTGAATTTTAATAGCGTGATAATTTCTTTTCTCGACGGACAGCGAGCTTCCTAACATGAGATTGTCCGGTCCTCTGCCGCCGGAGCTGGGGAAACTGGAGCAGCTGCAGTACATGTACGCTCTTCGTTCCGATCCACATGCATGGGCTCTGAACTGAAATTTTCCTGTCCTGCTTTATATCCATGTCTGCTATTCCATCTGACTCTCCGTCACTTTTGGCACCTGATCGAGCAGGGAAATGAGCGGCAACAGTCTGCAGGGCCCGATCCCGTCAGAGTTCGGCAAGTTGAAGAACCTGATCAGCATGGACCTGTACAACAACGACCTTTCAGGACCCCTACCAACGACGCTTGGGAACCTCAAGTCCCTAAAGGTCCTGTAAGTCACTGTCTCTCAGCTCAGCTCATGTACCCCTTCCAACACGTGCACTGCATGAACGATTGAACGTTTGGCTTGGCAGGCGTATCGACCACAAGCACAACCGCCTGACGGGACCGATCCCCAGGGAGCTGTCTGGACTGCCCAACCTTGGAACTGTGTAAGCCGGTGTTCTCAGATCACACATCTCACTCTTTTTTTTGTTTCACCATTTCTCTACGCGCACCGTCGGTGGCATGGATGCATGTCATAACAACACTGTTCTTGTTCCTTCCCATTGCAGGGATTTCTCGAGCAATGACTTGTGCGGCACGATCCCGACGACGGGACCGTTCCAGAACATTCCCTCACCAGGTAGGTAGGAAGAGCTTCGTCTCCATGAGCCCGTGATGTTCAAATGCTCGGCTCGATCTCCGAACAGTGCGTGTATCGTGTTCCGTTGCAGCTTCTCCAACAACCCGCGGCTGAAGCAGGGGCCGGGCGAGTATGACGCTAACTGCTAGGCGGCGGCCGTCGGTATATGAACAATAATAGAGCCGTCAGTAGAGTAGTGTAGCCATCGAGCGATGAGTATGGAGAGGCGGGAACGGAGGAGGATTCGCCGGATGGCAGGATGGCGTGGGGCAGCAGCGGCGGCTACCCAAATTTGCCGTGGCTGCTGGGTGGCCGGGTGAAACAGTCAAACAGTGATGGCGTTTGGCGTGTGCACGTATGGCGAGTCCGCTGGAGCCTGGAGGGACGGGGTTTTTTTTTTCGTTATAGCTGAAAATAACGATGGCGTATCATATGAAGTAGCTTCTGCAGATGCTCTGTTTGTACAATGTAGAATCCATTGGTCCCGCGAACTGTTAGTTGACGCAAGCTTACTGACGGTCTAAGGAGAACGGGCTGTTAAAAGTCTTCTGAAAAAAGGAAAAAAAGGAGAATAACGATGTCCTATTATAATTCAGACTTTCAGAGCATTCAGCTTTGGCAATATCGCTATTGGTTCTACGGGCGCAAGTATATATATATACGATCACAGTTCATAGTAAGAAGCAAATAAAAGTCACGACCACATAATGACATCGAGGTAACTCTCTAAGGCAGAAAATCTTTGACCATTATATTGACGATTCCAAGCGACTGAACGACTTAGAGTGTGTTTGGTTTGAGAAATGGGTGGTCTATCATATTCTCACTTCTCACTTTTTGTATTTGATTTGTGGGATGAAATGAGTTGATGCATCACCAGCTCATTCCACACAAGCTAACAATTAGTATATGCTTGAGATATGAGTTGGTTCCACCAAAATTCATGGGACGAACACCAAACACACCCGAGTACCACTCTGACTCCACCATGTACTCTCTATAACGACTTTCTAAACTATATGATCTAATACCATCTTAAAACTAAGAAGACACTACTGGATCTCCCAGCATCTAATTAAACTCGATGAAACCATCTACGGTGACGCTGAAGGAGTTGTCACCGGCGGCTCTGCTGGCGTAGGAGGCATTATCGGCGGCACCTGTTGCGCTGTCAATCAAATATGAACGAACAAGCATCAGCGTCACCAGATTAATCTCCTTGCGACGGAAGGAAGCATACATAAAATCTGTGGAATCTCATAACGCGAGAGGCATTGTAATAACTTACAGTTGAATGCGAAGAGAGTTTGGAGCGGCAGCACGGTGCCGCAGGCGAGCGGGAGGATGAGCATGCGGATCGGGTCCACGGGCTTGGGCAAGAACTGGTTCATGTCCCCGTTCATGCCCTGCCAGAGGCAGATGGGCGCGTCCCTGATGACGGACTTGAGCCCGTCGCAGCACTCGCCGGGGGGCGTCAGCACGGTGATGTTGGTCAGGTAGTCCGTGCACGGCAGCATCCCCACCAGCGGCGTCATGCACTCCTCCGGCTGGGGTTGGGCCGGCGGCGGAGGGGATGAGAACGTCGTCAAGCTGGCACCCAGGTTGCCGCCGCCGCCTTGGAGAGGCGGAGACGACGACCCCGGCGGCGGGAGGAGCGGGATCAGGGGCTGCAACATGCCGATGATGCCGCCCAGCCCCGGGAAAAGCAGGCCCAGGATCGCGGCCAGTAGGTTTGGAGGTAGGCCATGTGGCGACCCTTGCCGTGGGAGAGGGTTGCCGGCGAGCACGCACGGCGATGAGCATGGCGTCCCCGTCTCGAGCAGGGAAGCCACGGAAGGAAGAAGGGAATTGGGAATTTGTTTGTTATTTTTCGATGACCACCCGACCACCCTGGCAGCGAATCTTAAGGTTTAAGAATTCGTAGGCTTTGGCCCGATACAACCTTGCGGCCCACGTGCCGTCGGCCCTTTCAAGTGAAAGCTCAAATCAATTAACGGTAACTATAAGCAGTCTGTGACATCCCCTCCCCCTCCCCCTCCCCCTTAAGCAGCATCGTGTCCTCGTGATGTAGACGGAACAGAAGTAGCTGTAGCCGATGCAGACAGTGCTTGGGGCAGCGAAGCCAGCGGCTCCCATTGCGCCCAGTGTGTTGGGCAGGACTGTCGCTGCACCAGAGCTTCAGACACCACGTGTCGTCCGACCAGTTGAAGTCTGGTACCCAACACTCGAGCTGGAGGCAACCTAATAAAAAGAGTCAGCAGATTGAGTTTACCATCAGCAGAAACAGTCACCTGAGGAGGCACTGCCTTTTTCAGTTGAGACACATGAATGACGGGGTGAATTTGGCTTGAAGCCGGGAGCTGTAATTTGTATGCCACCTGACCGATTTTCTAAGAATGAGGTAAGGCCCAAAGTATTTGAAGCTCAACTTCTGATTAGCTCTACATTGCACAGACTGTTGCACATAAGGCTCAAGCTTGACATACACCCAGTCTCCCACTTGAAATTGCCGTTCCTGACGGTTCTTATCAGCCTGATTTTTCATGCAGTGTTGAGCACGCTGCAAGTTCTGCTGGATATGATCAAGCATAGACTGACGCTCATGCAACCAATTATCCAGGTCATGTACAGTGCACACATCCGAGATAGTGATGCCAAAATGCCGAGGTTTGTGTCCATATAAAGCTTGAAACGGGGTTAGGCCGTGAGCAGAATGATAGGTTGAGTTGTATCAAAATTCAGCCAGTGGTATCCACTGAGCCCATTTGGTGGGACAAGACTGAATCATGCACCGTAGGTATGTTTCTAAGTATTGGTTAAGACGCTCAGCTTGACCGTCGGTTTGAGGGTGATAGGCTAAGCTCATGTTTAAGGTTGTATCTGTGAGTTTGAATAGCTCTTGCCAAAAGGAGCCAGTGAAGACTCGGTCTCTATCAGATATAATTACAGTGGGCATGCCATGAAGTTTATAAATGTTGGCAAGAAATGCTTGAGCCACAGTGATAGCAGTATATGGATGAGATAAACAAATAAAGTGTGCATACTTGGTAAGCTTGTCAATGACAACCAAGATTATGCCAGAGTACAAACAGCTGCAGTGCTCAGTTTGTGGATGGTGGAGGTATTAGAGCTGAAACAACCGTGGCCACCACCTAAACAAAATTTGATAATGCTGCAGCCATGCATCAGTTGTGGCTTGGGTTGGCCAAATACAGGGAGTTCATGTTTAGAGGCATATTGGGAGACCCACATGTGCAAGCTGCATTGGCTTCGATTTCTTCAAAGTGATGCACAAGTTGATGAGGGCAACAGAAATGGAGCTGTTGATCTATTTCTGTCAGTTTTTTTGCCAGCTTTGGCTTTTCACTGAGATTCCAGTTGCAGGCATGTCTATGCTCTTGAATGGAGGATTTTATTTACTCACGTACTTTTAGATGAAGTACCAGATAAGTTTCCCTGATCTATCTCCATCCCAAGAAAAGTACAGAGTTATTTCTAGACTGTACAAGCCTAGTGCTCTTGCTGCTCTTATGCTAGTAACAAGTTCTACCCATCCTGTGCTTTACAAATTGCTCTCTGGAGTCTCATGGGAATTTGAACCTTGGCCACCATACATTCAAAGATTCTGCATGCACTTGGTTAGCAGTTACGCTTTTCAGCAGGAGGGGAACTATGCACTGATGCACAACTTGATTTGAGTGAGGGCAACTTAACTCATGGGCACTGCAATTTGGTGACATATGCTATTGGTTGTATGGTGCTTGTAACTAAGATGGCGTGTGGAGGTATTAAAAGTGGATGGTTAATAGCACAGGTTAATCTATGGCTACTCTGGAATAATATGAGTGCATATCAGTTGTACAGTCCAACAGGAGTGCAATTTATGCTTGTGTGGCTGCTACCTTGCAAGAAAACTGTGGACTTAATTTCTGTTGCAAGCATCAAGGATACTTGTTCTGTTTGGGCATTGCTTCTGATTTTTGCTCGCACCTCATCAAAGAAAGTCGACCAATCACTCATGGTGCTTCAAGTGTTGCATCAGCTTGGGATTTTTATAGAGTTCAGTGATTCTGTTGATACATATTGGACGCCACATGACATCAAGTATGCTGAAATTGTTACAAGGGTGCAAATACAGAGGATATGCTGGCAGCAGCAAGAGCTCAAATTACTCGAGGTGAACGAGAACAGCACTGAAGATTCAGACGAGCGACAACTCAGACTTTGGGTTTCTTTCCAATTCCGTCAACATGATCTGGTTGTGTACCTGAGAACCCCTATAACCTACATGCTGAGTGAATTATGGGTGACAGCTCTCTTCGTAACATTAATTAGTCAATTATTGGCCAATCCACTATCCAAGCAGTCTGTATTGACCTTTCTGAAGAAGCAGTGAGAGCTGATCGAATTGCATACCTGACGCTACTGCTATACACTCATATTGCACTACTGACGATAGCAGCAGATACAATTCATATTGAGTCCTCGTTACCATCAACTGTCTCTGATGTGCAGATTCTGGAGATAGTGGCATACCACCTTCCATGCAAATCAAACAGAGCAGTTACTCAGGTTCTACTCAAGTGGGCTGAATTACTAGTTGAAAACTTGAAATATCCACCTGGGTCAATGTAGATCAAGTTCCACGGAAGCTAACTTCCACAACGGCTTAGGGATAAGCCGTGTTTCAAGGAGGGGGGAATGTCACGGTACAGGCTGCAGACACCCCAGAAGAGCCCAAGAGCTAGGAAGACTTGGAAGCCCAGCACACGTTACGACGGCTCAGAATGAAACACCTGACCAAGCCCCGTTGCATCGGGTGAATGGCTGTTTCTCTACAGCTGTAATACATGAGGATACTTAAGGGAGGGGAGAGGCAAGGAGAGACTTGATTTGGTTGTAATCGAAAAACAGGCGAGCTATGGCTCGAGACGGCGGCGAGCATCTGCTCGAGATCGATTACTACCTTATCCTTGTTAGACTAGCTACTTGTGTTTCTCCGTGATCCTATAATATACATCCAGTATCGTTACAAGCGGGGATGCCCGGGTCCGCCGGAGGTGTCGTCGATGGGCTGCTTGGTCGGCCACCTTTTCTGCTGCTTCTTGGCCTGCGGCCACGGGCTTGAATGCTTGCTGGACTTGGAGCCTCCCCGCTTCCGAGGGTTGCAGCGCCGCCGCCGCCATGGCGAAGGCGAAGAACAGAGCGATGAGCTTGGGCGAAGCCATGGCGAATTGGAGGACGATGCTATGGCGCTTTGCGTGTTGGATTGGATGCATGACCACGTGGTTTTGGCCTTCAATTTATAGTCTGGATGGATGGCCTCGAGTTCGAGATAAGAAATTCAGACATTTCGTGTAACGAGATTGGATTCTTAATTTCTCATACCCTTATTATTACTGCTTATGATTAATTTGTCCTTCAATCAAAGGATTAAACGAGGCCAAGGAGTATGAGGGTCTGTCTCTGTTTGCCATGTCTGTATGTAAGAGAAGAGAAACGATGAAGCCTGCACAGAGTCCTGCTGATCTTGCGCTCGTAAAAATTGTAATTTTCTTTCAGATAAGGTTGGACGGGATATGGATGGCCGTAGTCGAGATAATCTACTTTCTGCTTGAGTTGATCGGAAGTACGAAGAGTGCATCATCGAGCACCGAGGAGTCCGGAACTGCTGACTAGTTTCAAGTTCAGACATTGCAGATTGCATGCATAGTTTCAAGATCAGACATTGCAGATTGCAAGAATCCGACATTTCTGAAATTGAGAGTCTGGTTGATGTTCTATCTTAAATCCCTGTTCGCGTCGATATGTAAAAATTGAAGTTTGCTGTAATGAGATATGACTAATTTCTTGGACGCCTTTTCTTTTTCTGGCTTGTACAAAGCAGATTGAGTTTTAAAAGCTACATCCCTTTCATCAGGTACGATACGAATGAGAGAATTCAGAATAGCCCAGGAAAAGATTACATTCACCCACTTAATCTGATTTCAGAATAGCCCAGGAAAAAAAAAACATTCACCCCACTTTTGAAGGGATCCGTGACGGCACGACGCTTTGCATAGTTGTATTGCAACCAGATATATGCCCGACGTTGTACGGTGGTCACGTAATTTTCGCGAACCATAGTAATGGGATGTGAACGCGTTAGCTCGAAGAACTTTGTATTGGACACGGACACGTGGATTCGGTCTTAAATATCGAAACCGAATAGGATGCGGATTCATGAGCCAGGGATTTTGGTTTCCTTGATGGATTGAAGCGGGTTCCTAAAAGGAGGAGACTTTTCACATGTGTGAATTATAAAGATCGTAATCCACACCATGTGTCCTGGAAAAATTCAGCGGTCTTGGTATATGTTTTACTCCAACTTTTGGGTCCTCCATGCCACTTCCGTCAAATTCGTCGAGATCTCTACTTTTACGTATAAAAGCTATGGCGTGAAAAGGCAAAAAAATGATTTAAGTTCAAATATCTTATTAAAAATTTTTAGCATCTTAACGAATTAAATGAAAAACTTTTTATATGAAAATTATAGATCTATAATTTTCAGATCTATTATTTTCATAGTTTTGAGTTTTTTATGATTTGAGTGATTAAGATATCTTAAAAAAAATCATAATAACATATTTGAAATTAAATGAAAATTTTTCGCCTTTTCACAACTGTAGTTTGACGCAATAGAGCCTCGAATCGATTTGAAGTGGCATGGAGGAGGACCCAAAAGTTGAAGTAGTATAATTGAAGACCGCTGAATTTTTCCAGGCACAAAGAGGATTACGATCTTTTATAATTACGTGAAAAGTCTCAAAAAGGAGCTAGAAAGTGAGTAGGGCGGATGCACAGTAGGTGCATGGGGTACAGCTGTACCCCAAAATTCTGCAAAAATACTGTTCATATACCCTTTAATACATTATATACGTATAATATAATATATTGTTAAGTAGCAAAAGTCTCACACAGAGCTTCTTGTTTGCATTGTTGCTTTTGAATCTAGTGATTTCCTTTGCTTTTTATGACAACGAAAATTTTATTGAACTTGCAAAATTTTATCCCAAGATTTCACGGGTACAAGTATGATCCAACTTTCTTTGCCACTTAATATATTTGTTGTTGATGTGTGTAACTACACAAGTTTCCGATAAGCAAAGAATTTTAGTGAGATCCCTCTCAGACTTATTGAGACAAACAAGCACAATCGCTTCAAAACAAGATGGGCAATCAATACTTAAATGATTTTTTTTATCATATTTATTGAGCTCGCATGACTTTTTCTAATGTGTAAGCAATGAAGACGTCATTAAACGCTTTTAAGAATCGCGGAATGGCTTGTGAAGATTTAGTTTCTATTATAATAATTTATAAGAATTAGTTGCGAACTTATAATGAAAAAATATAACTTGTTTCATTTATATATCTTTACAACTATTTTATTAATCGAATTATATCATTTCAATATCGATCATTTTAGTCCGTACCCCCATGATCGAAATCCTAGATCCGCCACTGGTGCGGAGGAGGCCGGTTTCTCTAAGGAAACCAGGGGATCACGTGCGGAGGGTGGAGAACCGATTGTAGGGGTGCGCTCACGAACGGGGGTTGGACGAAAGCGGTCCGTATTTTTTAGGTGGTAATATAACAGATTAGGAGATGTGTTTGCTTTGGTGGCCTATGGCCTTTCGTTGTTAAAAAAATATATATTAGAAACGGCTTGCCAGGGATAGACTGGGCTGGGCTTGGACGATAGCGCGTGGACCAGCCAAGCTCAAATCGCAGCCTTATCTAATGGGCCGACTATGGTCAGGCCAACTTATTAATTGGACGAAGCCTATATCGCTTATTGGGAGTTTTTTTTTTCAAGAAGACAAAGACTTTTACTTATTATTATTTTTTTGAAGCTGACTTCTACTTATTATTACTCAGCAACAAAGATACAGTCTTAAGCAATAATATGCTCCACACATACTGGAGAGCTAAAGTGCCAAACATGTGAATGTTTTGGTCTCTTCGTTACCTGTGTGAGCTCGTGAATATTAGACTGGCCACAATGTGAGCAGTGCAGAAAAGAATCTCCAATCATGCCGATGGCCAAAAACCATGGATCGATTACAGCGTTTTGCATTGATGCTTGAGGGCATGTGGGTGTCCAAAATTGTCAGAACTTTACAGCATTCCTTTCTCTGCCTTCACACATCCATCAGTTGAGAAATATTTTTTTATTTGTTTAGCATCGAAGCGAGAACACTACTCGATGCTTGTATTTTCTCTCTCTTCAGCATCGATTCACACAATGGCATGACTCGATGCTTCAACGCTTCAACGTTCTCTTACTTCTTTCAGCTTCGATAAAAACCAATGTTGTGGCTAGTCTTACACACTCTCCTTTTGGAAGTTTATTAATTATTCACGCAGCGGCTTCTGTGAATTTCTTAGAATGTTTGTCAGGCGACACTTTCTGATCACCAGCTCGAAATTGCTCTTTCGACGGAGAAATTGGCTGGACTTGCACGGTCATCTGGCCTTCGAGCCAGGTAACCTAGATTGGTAGCTAGCGTGGTACAACGCTATATGAATTTTTTAACAACTATTAATATAACACATCATACGACTATATAAATTCTGTTCGCTTATCTTATAATTCATCTTTTTTAGCTTATTTTTTTAATCTGTTTTTTTCTCACAATAAATCAGCTGGAACAGTGTTTCAACTTATTTTTTTAGCAAAGCGAACGGACCAGCCGGGTAACCTAGATCCTGACTCTTGTCTAAGGAGGGATCGAAATCGAAATTAATGTTGGTCTCAACTTCTGCTGCTGGTGTGCTACTCCTACTCGATCGATCGTACTGGGGATAAATACGAACCATAACTCGGATTGGCAGTCCCACACGGATAAAATAGTTGGAAGGGCTAGCTGAAAGGCGACCGACTCGCACGGCACAAGAAGCAGACATTCATTCAGGTACCAATTAGTACGTACACGTGAATGAAAACGTATATGTAGGATAGCGGGACCGTTCGTTTGGGCTTGTTTGGCTTAGGGGTCGTACTTTTTCAGCCAACGAACAGTATTTTTCTCTCACACTAAATCAGTCGACAGTACTTTCAGCAATGACTTATCAGCCAAACAAGCTCAAACGAACGGGGCGTATGGGCCAAAGATTACAGGGAGAACTGCAGTCTGCACCATCCTGTGCAGCACAGCAAACCAGTTGAACAACAGGTTGTAAAAAAAACAAGCTGAACAACAGCACTTTCAGGCAGTCGCGTATATGGATTTTATCCATAGATGGCCAACGGGCCGGCCCAGCCCGGCACGGCACGGGCCTGTGAAAGCACGGCCCCATGGGGGTTGGGCCGGCACGACACGACGTGCCTCCCGGGCCGTGCCTCACAAGGCCACGGGCCTGGCCTCCGGCCCAGGCACGACACTATGGGCCGATTTTCGTGCCGAGCCGGCCCGAGAAGCACGACCAATTTCACAGGTCGTGCCAGCCCGAGGCCCACTGGCTGCTGACAAAGAGAGAGGGGAAGGGCGACGCCGCTCGAGAGGTGTAGGGGGTTGACGCCGCTCGCCGCCGAGGAGATCGACGCCGGATCAGGAGGAGGCCAGCGCGCTCGCCACTGGCCGGATCTGTTGCACCGGTGTGGGATCCGCCGCCGCTGTTCACTGGATCCGCCGGAGAAGGGAGGGAGGGAGGACACGGGGAGCGGATCCGCCACGGAGGAGGAGATCCGCGTCGCTCCTGCCCAGAGACGTCCGCGCCGGAGGAGAGCTGCCCTGCTCCGTGCCGCCACCTCCTCAGGCCGAATCTCGTCAGCCGCTTGCAGGGGAGTGCCGGATCCCGCCGCCTCCTCGCGAGAGCGCCGCTGCAGGGGCCGCGCGAGAGGGAGGGAGAGGGGCGCCGTTGTTGCGTCGGGAGAGAGTGGAGGGAGGGTCGGAGGGAGAGAGAGTGGAGGAGGGAGAGATCGACGGCACGTGAGGGAGAGAGGGCGCCGCATCTAAGAGGTAGGGCTCTTTAGCAGGTATTTGCCCGGCCACCGTGATGGCCTCCGGTTTCAGTGAGCAGCAGTGCCATGTCGGCTCACGTGCACAGGGTAAGGCCCAGCACGGCTTGCTCCTCCCGGGTCTGTGCTAGCAGGCCCGCTTAGTCACCGGTGGGGTTTTGTGCTTGGACAAGGCCAAAAAATGGGCCTTGGGCGGGTCGACCGGCTCGGGCTACATGGCCATATATAATTTTATCACCACCGTCTAACGGGCCCATCCAATCCCAAGGAAGCTGAACGCCACGCTCGAGCTCTTCGCAAATTGCAATTGAGAATTATGAGATACTTCCCCCAACCCACCCACATTAGCGTAGATGTAAAATTACGATTTGCCCCTCATCTATCATTTTAGAAGTGGTTGTCTTTTGAAATATTCTTGTCATGAAGGTAATTTTTAGTCATGTAGGAATATTTTTAATTAGTAAGTCTCATAAAAAAAGGTAATCTCTAACTCTACAATTATATGTTTTTTTGAGATAAGATTTGAACGCTAGAGTTACATTTTTTTTTTAATGGAGGGAGTACTCCGGCAGTGTGTTTGGTACAGTAGCTGCAACGCTTGTCCCCACACCTGCACAGGTTCAACGCCTAAGGCACAAGGACGCAGTCCTGTACTCCTCCATTAAAATAGTCGTGCTAGAGGATAAGCACGCCGACGCCCGCCAGGGAGGGTTGCACGCGGACCGCGGACGGGGCACACGAGAGCAGGGGAGATCAGGTGCTGACTAGGAGGGAACAGGGAAGGAAGCCGCGCGTCGCGTCCTGACAGCACGTTCGGTAGGCCGTATCGTATTATGGATTATTTACTGTTAGTTGATTTGATGTGAAAGAAAAACACTGTTCCTAGCTGGAAATTTACGATCATTTACGTATACAGTATCGTCCCAGGATCCAGGATTCGTTGCGCTCGACGTCCACTCCCTCGTCAGGTCTCGTGGTGGTATTTGAGGTGTCTCTTTCGTTTCGACGCGATATACGATTGTATATTATATCTTTATAAAGATATTTTCTTTCACATTAAACCACCAACAAGATTTTCTTTTTATAATCCATGATCGTTTGGTAAAACGAACAAGCTGGAGGTTTGCCAAGCATTGCCACGGGACGGGCCATGGCGTTGTTTTCTCCGAAGGAGAAAGGGGCCCTCCACGGCGTCGCCATTCTCTCCGACCAAGTGCCATGTTCACTAGACTTATAAGTCATGATTGAAAATACTGTTAGGTAATTTATTGAAAAAGAAAAATATTATTCGTTGATCGAAAAAGTATGTCTTAAAAGCTAAACAAACCAGGCGGCCGTTTTATATTTCTGAAAAGACAAGACTAATACTACTCCGTAGAAAATTCAGCGCAGAACGTGGTGCCATTGAAAGCTAAGTAATAAAGACTGATGGAAACTAGAAAACGCTCCACTCGGCCGTTCTTCACCAAGCCTTCGCATTTGATCACACCCCCCGATTGTTGCTATGTGTACGAATTGAATTCCGAGAGGAGCTCTACCGTTTCGGTGCAAAGGCAAAGCTGCAGGTGCACGGCTCTGAATACGCCCACCACAGACGACGACGCAGCAGTCGCAGTCTCGCAGTGCATGGGCTGCAGCAGCGTTTGGCCCGCGGCGACCTGCGTCGTGCGTCACGCAATGCCAGCCAGCTCTGCAGAGGCAGGCAGGCGGTACCACACGGCCACGCGTCGCAGAGGATCGGAGGGGGTCAGTCAGTTCAGGTCGCCCCCAAACACAGCAGCGCAGGAGCATGACCGGATGCGGGGGATAGTGGATAAGCACGGGCCTACCAATCTATCCAATCCTCCTCGGCTCCTCGCCCGCCGGCCCGGCTGTCCCCCTCCGGCTTATCGATCCGTCATCATGGTCCTTGCTTATTTTTAATCATCATCGTCGTCGTCACAGCAGCTCGTCTCTTTCGCGCTGGGCTCGAGTTTCTTCAAATCGGATTTCTGTTGGGTTACCGTTTTGCCCCTTCCTTTCCCTTCGAGCCAGGGAGGGCCCAATGTGGTAGTCCTCCTGGCTTCTTCGTTCCCTTGCTCTTGAAGTTACCATCATCGATTGTCCTTTCCCTCATCTCTCTCTTGCTTTAATTAGCTTTGCGTGGTCGACCGTGCCATTTGGTAATCTTTGGACGAGTCAGGGCACTCCGATGTTTATATGATATTAATTGTACTGTCACCTAAGTATTTTGCTGATGTGATAAGGCCATGTTCGGCTTACTGAAACTTGGCTGAAAGTGGCTGAAAACACTGTTTTTACTGAAATGTTGTGAGAGAAAAACACTATTTCGGCTAAAAAAAAGAAACCGAACCAGCCGGATACAAGGTAAGCCAAACGGGGCCAAGATAGTTACTGAAGAGAGAGCAAAAATTATAGAAACCATGTCTAAATTAGAAACCATATCTACACGAGACCCAAAACATGAAAAGATGTGATTAGTAGAGAATTGAGAGAGAATATATTTGATTGAAAAATATTCTATATAAACTATTCATTAGGATTATAATTTTTATATATAGTATGTATAGAAATTAATAGGCGTAGAAATTTTCGAGCATTGGGACTGCCTTCAGAGTCATCGATAACTTTACATATCTACCATAATAAACCTTACCCCATATAACAAAACGCGCATCTCCATGAGCCACGTCGCCTTTTATTGTGCATGCGTTTTCCCCCTTCCGTTCCCACCGTTCATTGCCCCTTTCCCACTGTTCATTGCCCAGCCGAATAAAAAAATGCTGGCCGTCGAACCTTCCGTCGGCTGGGAGCGGCTGACTGGGCAGCTCTCTCACATAAACACTGTTTATATAAACCAGTCAGTAGTATTTCTCTCTCACGTAAACGAATCATCAATGATACGAACCAGTCAACCGAACAGGAAAAAAAACCGTACTCTTAATATTTAGGGCCTATTTAGTTCCTGGTCACAACGGACCGCGCTAGACGTAATTTTAGACTTATTATGTGTGGCTTATTATCGTAACTATAGAACACTTTACTTTTTTTTTATCCCACATGTTATAGATTTATTTTCTTGCTAAATCTTTTTTATCATTAGTCTGGCTTTGATTTTGCTTACCACAATTTACTCAAGATTAGACGGGGCAAACTTCGTTCATGATCATGAGCCAAACAGGTCATTAATTGGTAATACATCTAATGCAATTAGCTACTCTAAACGTCCTCCATTTTATTGAATCGAGATAATGCTATATTTTTTTTGTTAAAGTATTAATCTACTGAATCACTAATCTGTTGGTATTCAGATAATGTTGAAGATAAGAGATTCATGGTAAGGGCCTGTTCGACTGGTATTAAAGCCGGCTGATAAGCCGGCTAAAGCTAATTTTTTTTAAAGAGAAATACTGCAGATTCTAGCTGATAAGCCGAAGCGAACATGCCCGAGAAAGTCTTCACCCAGCAAGCTCTCGAATAATGGTCACACATACACCACCGTGTTTCTTTGGTCGTTTGCTGGCTCTAGATAACGTCGAGCTAGTTTTCTTTTTTTTTTTAAAAAAAAAACCGTCGAGCTAAGCTCATTAATTACTTGAAATAGTAGTTTTAAAATTCATTCATACTCTCTAAACGTGGTTTCCATTACCATGTCACTGTCCAATCCATATCAACATGTTTTCTCGGTCACCATCCAAGAACATATCCTTCTTGAAAAAATCGTCCAAAATGTTGACTTCCTACACCCCTGCTCAGATAAACCAGAATATGCCGACCTCTAATCCGAGACCAGACTACCAGGGGCAACGTGGTAATCTAAACCCACGACGCATGCATGCTCGGACGGACGCACCTCAACGGTCGAGACGCCCCCGACGCCCCCGATCCGACGGCGGATAAAACTCGGGGATAGCTCCAGAAAACACCCGTGAGGCGGCGTGCGGGTCACGTGACTCGCCACGTCCTCTATATTTTGTCCCCTCTTCTTCCGCCTCCAGCGAACCGGACCGGACGGTGGCTGCGCGCGCCATCTCTGTCAGCTCCGGGCGGCCGGTGGTGGCTCGCCGGCGCAAATTAACCCAAACCCCGTGGCATTCTCCCGTGGGGCTGTAGTCTTGTAGCCTCCCCGCTCCTCCGCCTAGTCGCTTGCTTCGCCATAAAATAAAACTTGCTTAATTAGGGCGGTGTTCGAGAGGTGGTTGTGGAGTACTAGCGTACTACCTCGCCTCGAGGGTTTGACTGGTGGAGGCGGGAGCAGGGAGTAGCTGCGGGGGCGCGGCGATCTGGGCGGGCATGGGGAACGCGAGCGCCAAGGAGGGGGAGAACGGCCACATGGCGGCGGCTCACAACGGCGGCGGAAGCAGCAGCTCGGCGGGAGGCGCCGCCGCGCGACCGCCGCCGCCGCTCTCGCCGCCAGACGCCGTGATGCTGGAGCGTCCACCGCCCGTGCCCTATCTCTTCGCGCCACAGGTGATGATTTATTACCCGAAACTGCAAGAAAAAGTCCTTAAAAAATGCAAGAAAAAGAAAATGACAGAGACATAACTTGGGGGTGTTGTTGATGATCCCTGGTTCGGTTGAATTGCGTTCGTTTCAGTTACCCATACTCGGATTGTTTCGTGCTCCTCCTTGGCGATCAAATTTAGTTTTGCTATGGAATTGCTTATTTTTGTTCGTTATAGAAACTGAATGCCTTTTTCTTTGGGTCATTTTCTCTCGCTCAGTCATCAGATTGATACACATGGTGCTTGGAAACTTCAAACTGTAGGAGCAACGCATGGCACAAGCTGTAGCTTACAGATCTACTAAACTGCAGCCTGTCCACCGTTCTGATATTCCCAAAGAGTGTTTATTCTTGTTCAGGGTATTGCTGGACCTCGCCACTTTACTAGTGCATCCTGAAAAAAAAAATGAATTTTTTTTTTGGCATTGCAGCTAAGCCCACAGGTAAAGACGAGTTGATTGATTTAGGCATTTAGCTGCACCTTGATTTTGCGAATGGATTTGATAGTTCTGAATCTTGAATTGGGTTGGGTGTAGTTGACAAGTTGGCCTTCCTTTCTCAGATCACATTCGCCTACACCTTTTTTTTAAACCTTTGGTTGGACATTTAGCTGCCGGCTACACAAACTACTAGCTGATGCAAGTATTGTTGCTTCTATCATTTTTTTTCTTCCTTGGTGATCACACACCGTGTTACGACAAAATCTTTAAAGCCTGATCTTGTTTCGAGGGCATGTCGTCTCCTTGAAAACATACTCTATGCTAAAAAGTTCGCTGGCCTTTGATGCACATGGTAGAATAAATTGCATAGTTCTTCGATGGTACCCGTTAAAGAAAATAATGTTAGGTGCCATCTGCCATGTTTTAGAAATCTGATTAAAAGTAGGGTTAATTGGATCCATGCCATTATAATTTTCGATGTTCGGAGAAATGCCATTACTATTCGCCTATTTTGAAGCATGCCATTACAATTCTTCGTTTCCCACAAAAATGCCATTGAATACGTATGGACACAGCCTGGGCCCAGCTGCAGGCGTATACGAAGACGTATACTTCATCACCCCTGTCACTGACATGTGGGCCCCACATGTCATCTTCTTCCTCCTCTCCTCTCTCTCTCATCCCGACGCCTTGACCACGGCCCACTGAGCAGCAGAAAGCAAGAAGACGCCGGCAGCCCATGAGCAGCAGCAGAAGCAGAAGACGCGCGATGAAGCAGCAGTGGCTACGCCTAGGGTGAGGCGGGGAAGGGGCCACTGCTGGAGCTCATGGGGACGGGGATGGGACCGCGCGCCTTCTTTGGAGCTCGCGGGCATGGGGATGGGGTCGCGCTTTCTTTGGATCTCGCGGTGGGGGAATTGCCATTGCTTGCAGGACGGGGCCCACGCGGAGCTGGACCGGGCCCAGGGGCCATGATCGACTGAGCGGATCAGTGGAGCCGCACGGTCGCGCCGGCCATGGAGGCACTTGTGAAGCTCGACTGCGCCGGATTCATGGAGGAGGAGGTGTGCGGGCGCCCGACCATGGAGGTACTCGTGAAGCCCAACCGGTGCCGTATCCATGGAGGAGGAGGTCCGCCGGACGCCGGCTATGGGAGGAGGAGGCGCCACGCCGGGGGAAGGCCAAGAAGACCTGCGCCATGCGAAAAGCAAGCGAAAGAAGAAGACACGTCGGTCAACCCGCGAGCTCCAGCGCCGCAGCGCGTCCTCAGGCGCGCCGCCGGGGTGTGAGCTCACGTGAGCCCAGCCGTCCTCTGCTACTCAACTGTGGCGCTCCGTCAGCCGTTGCTGCTTTCCATGCAGGGGCCTTGTGAGTCACGATAAGCGGCTCGTCGGCTTGCCATACTGCCGCCGCCGCCCGTAGCTGCGCTGGATGGAGAGAGAGAGAGAGAGAGATGAGAGAGAGAAGAAGAAGATGACATGTGGGGCCCGTGTCGATGACAAGGAGATGAAGATATCGTCTTCAGATACGCTGCAGCTAAGTTTCAGTTGTGTCCATACGTATTCAGTGGCATTTTTGTGGGAAACGAAGAATTGTAATGGCATGCTTCAAAATAGGCGAATAATAATGGTGTTTCTCCAAACATCGAAAATTATAATGGCAGGAATCCAATTAACCCTTAAAGTACGGCCAGTTATTGAGGAATCTTGTGATTGGCCACAAGTACATTTCATTCAGTTCCGCTTAAATGTAACCACTAGTTAGACCTGCAACAGAGTTAGTTCATCATCACCTGCAATTTGCATGAGATAAATGGATGGCCCTTGGATCATTTAGGTCACTTTTTTTTTTTGCTTACATTGATATTGTACATGTGTGGGCAACATGTTCTTAAAAAGGAGATTTAATCTTGCAACAGGTCATAGTCCTAACAACTGTGCGGCCATAGCTTTGCTGCTCTTTGTGTTTTTAGTAACAAACTGTATAGAAGCCGGCTGACCTATGTGATTTTTTTTTTTTTACCAGAGTCATCTTAATATCATGTTTAGTTTTCCATCACCATTGGACAGACATGACCATAGTCTTACACGGGTGAACCATATGACCTCACAACTTCCATCTTGACCTATGGAAATTTCTGTACATTGTTAGCCCTTTACTTCTAAAGGGAATATGGTCATTTCAGATCCTATAACACTGGGAGATAAAGGGATCATGCTTCGCATTGCTCTGAAATCTTCATAGGAGTATTATTACCTCTAACTAAGCATATTTTTATGTCACTTAACTCGTTTTCTGTTGGAACTAGTTGCATGTATTTGCGTTGTTGCTGGTCCTGTTCTTACTGACATGTAACTGCTCCTTGCAGGTTCCAGTGACTCCACTGCACAGACCTACTGAGTTTTCTCCCGTTTTCAACCATTCACTGACAAATGGCACCGGCGAATCCACCAACCACCACTCTCAAGAGAAGGGGATTCCAACTTTGGTTACATGGAGTCAAGGAGGAAATGAGGTATTCCTGGAAGGATCATGGGATAACTGGACATCGAGGTATATGTTTTTCCCAAAAATTAGAATTTGCATCTTCAGACACCTTATTTTCATCCCATATTAAATTCATAAACTCGGTGTGTAATCTCAGGAGGGGATTAGAGAGGTCTGGCAAAGATCACGCGATCTTGTTGGTTCTGCCATCCGGAGTTTATCATTACCGGATTATTGTAGATGGGGAGCTGAGATACATCCCTGAACTACCTCATGCAACTGATGAAAGAGGGCAAGTGGCCAACCTCCTCGATGTCCATGTCAGTAAGGATGCTATATTTCTGTTTCAGCATTCAAACTTGTGAGAATTTAAACAACAAAGAGCCAAAGACAAGCAAATTACGGGGGGTACTTTGCTCTAAGCCGTTTGAAAAGTTCTCCATAGTGCTGGTTCCCATTTCATCTGAAAAGATACTTGTTTTGGACAGGATTACGTTCCAGAAAGCCTCGACAGTGTAGCTGAGTTTGAAGCACCCCCATCTCCCGAACACAGTTACGACCTGCAATACCTGGGTGACGAGGAATTCGCCAAGGAGCCGCCCACCCTCCCACCCCAGCTTCTCATGTCTGTCCTTGGGGACACTGATAACACTGACATCCAAGCTTCAAAGCCACAGCACGTCGTCCTCAACCATCTGTTTATTGAGAAAGGGTGGGGATCGCAGTCGCTGCTTGCCCTCGGCGTCACCCATCGGTTTGAATCCAAGTATGTGAGCTTTGTGCTCTACAAACCGCTGAAGAGGTGACGGGTACTGTGAGTGGAAGAAGAACAGAATGGTGGCTAGGGACTGATGGAGGTGAATAATGTGTGTGTAGCTGACATTGTAGCTTTGTATAGAAGGGAAATGCAGGTGCTCCTAGCTGATCTTTTTTATTTTTCTTTCGTTTTCGAAAGTAATAAATTAGTTCTTGTTGCCTGAGGTATTTGCGAAAAGGAAAGGGAGGACCGTGCATGCTTCGTGCAAATCTGAATGTTTGTGTTTGCGTGGCCTGAAATTGTTGTAGTCATGCATTTGATGGGTGCAGATGTCCGTTCTTTCGTTCTGTGATGTGGAGATACCAAGAAAAAAAAAAGGAAAATGACGACATCAGCAAATCAGTTAGCCACTCAAATGTATCTCTTGGATAAAGCTGATGTGTCGATTTGATGGAGGCGTAGTTAACCAGGACAGGTAAAGAAAATGATGGATGCCCGTGATGTCGATGTTCACCATACAAGCTTTATAACGTCGTGCGATCACGAGCTGCCTGGATTTGTCAAAAAGCTCGACAGAGACAGTGTGACAGAGAAGTGTGTAATCCCACCTGATCTTCTGAAACCGAGAGAAATTTAAGAGCTCCTTGTCTATACCTGTGGATCTAGATGTCAGTACCTGCTTGTTCTGAGCTGTGGATTAGGTGTTCCATTAACGTAGCAGTTTTTTCTTTTTTCGGAAAAAAATCTTGTACTTGCATATATATTTAAAAAAAAAAGGAAAAGGAGCTTTAGGGTTTCTTGTTGGACTGACCTGGGCCTGGTAATGATAATAACAAAATCTTTGGGTTTAGGCCTTTCCGAGCCATCCGAAGCCTGTGTCGGCCTGGCCCGATGCCAATAACTTTGTATCGTAGCTGAATGGGAGGAAAAAGTCTACATTACCTCCCTTGACTTTTACGAAAGTCTATTTTTCCTTACCGAACTCTAAAACCAAGTAAACGACTTCCCTGAACTTTTAAAACCGTTCGTTTTATCTCTCTGGCTAATTATAAACGGTTTTCAAAGACGGTTTTGTCTTTTTCTTTTTTATTTATTTCGGCTGAATCTTTAAAAAATCATAGTAAATCACAGAAAAATCATAAAATAAAAAATCTAATTTTGTTGGACTCCACATGAGTAGATCTACGCACTGAACATATAATATAGTATGCTTTAGTACAATTTTTTTGTTGTAGCTTTAGATCTATGCTTTTCTGTAATTAATTCATAGCTACACTTTCTATGGCCCAATTGTAGTGAAAATTTTATGGTGGGCTAATTATTGTATGCTTGAACTATAGTAAAAATTTCATACTCATTGGATCATGTATAACTTAGTTATAGATTTATTTAGGTAAGCTTGTTAAAAAGTATTTATAAATCTATAACTCACCTAAATAAATCTATAACTAAGTTATAATTTTTTTTTCCACGTGGGCAAACCCATTTCCATTAGAGATAACGGAAATACACAGCATTCTGAAGATTACAGACAGAAGACTGAAAATAATTTCCAGGAGTAGCAGACTACCACCAGAACGGCTAAGCACGGCTCAAAAGAAACAGCCACCTAACAACCACCAGGAACCATTCGACCAGAAACCACAGTGAAAATAACAAGTTTTTCTACTGAACCAAAACAAGACTAAACTGCTAACTAACAGTGTCTATTCATCCAAAAAGGCCACACCACAGCCAGGAACCATCCCGGGTTCTGTCTTCTGAACAAGCACTCTCCACGCTCTTGGTGCCCGCACAGCGCATGGGAGTTAAGCAGAATCATCAGCTTGATCAGATCGTTGACCATCTTCAAGGAGCAACTGATTCACCTGTATTGTGGTTTGAGCCGCAAGAATTTCCTTGGCGACTCTGAGCATAGTGTTTGCGCCCTCCACCAGCTGATCTCTGTCCAATTCTGCAAATAAACCTGACCAATAAACCATGAGCGCATAAGCATGACATATTATTTCCAACAGGGTTTTTAACACTTTCCCTTCAAATGCAACTTTGTTTCTGCATTTCCAAATAGCCCAGCAAATAGCTGCCACCCCCCAAGGATGAAATTTCTTGCCAAACGGGAACCACTTCTCACACCATAACCAACACTGCTCGAGATTCATAGGAACATTAGAAGCGCCAAAGCATTTGGCAACTACAACCCATATAATCTTAGCAACAGGACATTGAAAAAAAAGACGAGAAACAATCTCAATTGATGAATTGAATCACAGAACACACAACTGGGATCACCTCGCCACTTCCTCTTTCTTAGATTTTTTCTAGTCAAAATAGCATCGTTTGCTAAAAGCCATAAAAAGATTTTAATCTTCTCTGGGATTTTCCCTTTCCAAATTCGTTTGTGATACAAACCAGTGGTAGAGCTGGTCAAAGCATCATACACTGATTTAACAGTGAATCTTCCTTTCTTACCTATTCTCCATAGAACCGTATCATTTCTATCAGATAACATAAAGCTCGAAGTGTCATGCAGAATATTGTTCCAGCTAGTTCTCAGTTCCTCAAACAGCCATCGCCTAAAAGTAACTGACATCCCACCAAAAAACTGCGCAACAGTGTTGTTTTTGTTTTCACACAGTTCAAACAACACCGGAGCAGATACATGTAGAGGCTCCTTATATATCCAGGGATCAAGCCAAAACCTAGTTAAATTCCCATTCCCAATGGATATACCTCTACCTTGTAAATAGATGTCCTTTACTTTGAGTAAATCGGACCAAATCGGAGAATCATTCAATCTATGGCAAACCTCATGAATCGATTTAGTTCTCAAGTATTTATACTTTATAATATCTTGCCACAAGCCTTCTTCTTTTTCTAACCTCCACCACCATTTGCACATTAAACTGATATTTAGTTTCCTCAAATCTTTGATCCCTAAACCACCTTTTTTTTTTACTTTTACAAATTGTTTCCCACTTAATCAAATAATATTTCTTCTTTGTCCCACCTCCTTGCCAGAAAAAGTTCTTCTAGTCTTATCCAAGCTATTGATAGTTGACTTAGGAAGCAGATAAACCGACATATGATAAACTGGGGAGTTATTCAAACTAGCACTTATGAGGGTTGACCTCCCAGCTATAGACAGGGTTCCACCCTTCCAGACATCCAATCTTTTATTACCTTTCTCCACTAATGGCAACCAGTCACTAACTTTCAATTTGCTTGGACTAACCGGCACCCCCAAATACTTGATTGGAAAAAGACCAACTTGGCAGTTAAAAATTTCAGCATATTGATTACCCCAGTTTTCCTCATCATTAATCATAAGAATTTCGCTTTTGTTAAAATTAATTTTCAACCCAGCAAACATTTCAAAAAGGTACAGTAAGAGTTTCATATGAGTAGCACCCTCCAAATCATGTTTAAGAAAGAGGATAGTGTCATCCACGTATTGCAAAATTGCCACACCATTGGGTATGATATGACTTATCAATCCAGTAATTAAATTGCTTTCCTGAGCTTTGTGCACCATTCTAGTCAAATAACCAGCCACGAAATTGAATAGAATTGGTGACAATGGATCACCTTGCCTAACCTCTTTGAAGCTTTTGATATAAGAACCAATCTTGTTATTCATCTTTACACTAATAGTACCGCCAGATACAACTTGTTTGATCCAATAACACCATTTACTATGAAAACCCCTTCTTTCCATACATTCAAAAGCAATTTCAGTTCACTTTGTCGACGCTTTCTCAAAATCTAGCTTCAGAATTATTCCAATTTCTTTCCTTCTTTTCGTTTCATGTATGATTTCATGTAAACACGTAATTCCCGACATTATATTTCTATTTTTCATGAAGGCAGTTTGAGTATTATGAATCAATTTATCAGCCTAAGGGTCAATGTTTTTGTAATCAGTTTGTATAGACAATTCAATAAACAGATTGGTCTAAACTGTTGTATTCTCGAAGCTTCTTTAATCTTTGGTAACAAAGTGATGATCCCATAATTAATTCTGCTAGTGTCAACTCTCTGATTGTAAAAATCATCAAATAATTGTAAAATATCTTCCTTCACAATGTTCCAACAGCTTTGATAAAACTCAATAGGGATTTTATCTAGTCCTGCAGATTTGTTTTTTTTCATCTGATCAAGGGCGTCTTTGATTTCTTTTTCAGTAAAAGGTTTACACAAAGATTCATTGTCACTTGAAGAGACTCTGGGAATATTTTCCCAAATTTCAGGGTCCATTTGAACCTCATATTCAACTGGTGGACCAAAGAGATCAGTGTAATATTCAGATGCATGCTTTAAAAGGTTTTCATCCCCTTCAATTAACTGGCCGTCGCATTCCAGACTTATTATATTATTCTTCCTTTTTCTACCGTTTGCACATTTGTGAAAATATGACGTGTTGTTGTCACCTTTAAGAAGCCAAGTTTGATGTGATCTTTCACACCAATATATTTCTTCTTGTTCCAAACTTTTTAAATTTTCAATCAACAACCAAGTTTTTCTATCAATTTAGTCAGCAGATAAACCAACTTCCTCCTCAATACACTCGAACATACCCAATTCACTCTGGTAATCTTTTCTTTTTTTTTCTCATTTCTCCTTACAAATTAAAACCCCAACCTTTAAAGAACTGTTTAATTAACTTGAGCTTTTGCTAAATTCTATCAATTGTAGTCTTAGCTTTGCAAGGCTTATTCCAAATCTTATCAACAAGAGTAAAAAAATCATGATTTTTAAGCCAATTAAGATCAAATTTGAATTGTATATGAGGCAGATTGTCACATTTTCCAGTAGAAATAATCAATGAATTATGATCAGAAACCTCCCAAGGTAACTTATTCACAATTGCTTGAGGAAAGATGTCCTCCCACTCCTTTGTCATCAAAATTCTATCTAGTTTTTTAACACAGGGGATCCTGGTTGTTAGACCAAGTAAAAAGACTACCATTCATAACCAATTCTCTCAATTCATATGAATCAAAGAGTTAAATAAAGCAGTGTGCCTATGCACTCCATCCATTGTATTCTTTT